TTTTTTTTTTTTTTTAAAAAAAAAAAAAAACACATTTCTCTAAAAATCTGAAGGATCTCATTTTTTTTACTTACAGCTTTCAGTTTTTAAAATACCCCCCAAATCCTATATTTCCTGAAAGCATAGAAGCAGGATAATTAAAAGAAGGTGGTACTAAATTATTAGGCCCCACACCAGTTGTACAGATGTTTAAGCTATAAAGAAAAAAAAAAAAAAAAAAAAAAAAAAAAACACTCACACAAAATCCCTATTTTCACACAAACACAACATAGCTTACAAAATTCCTGCTAAGGCTTCGCATGAGGTGTACTAAGCGAACACCCATGGAGGGCTGTGTTTACAAACACAGGGATGCACAGGTGTTGTGTGTTGTGTGTTCCTGTGCAAGCCGTCCCATTCATGTCAATTGGGATGCAACAGCTGCAAGGACAGATCTGATATCCGTGCAGGTGTATCTGCATGGCCTGAAACGCAGTGTGAGTTTTGTGCCATACACAGGCATGCACGAAACACCTGTGCATTCCAGTGCAGCTGCTGTGTCCTAATCAACATTAATGAAGATGCATGGAACACCTGTGCATCCCACTTAACTTGCAGATTGGGGGGGGGGGGGTGCAAAAATGAACGGTTGAGCTGCGTTTCTGCCACTGCCACTTGCCAACTGCCCCAACTTCAGCTAAATGGAGTTAAAAACAGGCAGTGAGGAGGCATTGCATCACTTCCTAACCACATGTCACGGATCAAGCATCAGAGGCAAGGGAGATTTAGATGAATGTCTAAATCTAGCCTTAAAGGATAAGTTCACATTTTAAAAAAAAAAAATTTATATATATGCACGCACACACACACACACACACACACACACACACACATATATATACACACACACACACACACACACACACACACACACACATATATACACAAACATACATACATATATACATACATACATACATACATGCACTTTTTTTTTTAACCTGCAAAAAATGTGTGTGTATTTATTATTTTTTTGTTTGTGGAGCCGCTAAAGCATTATACCAGCGATCAGTACCAGTATATAGCAGTCTTATGACCTCTATCAGTGTCCGGCTAAGCACTGCATATACAGACTGATTGTACTGTTGTGGGTTTAGTAACATTGTAATACAAGGTTACCATATTACTTGCTAAATCACCAAAAAGGGAGAATAAATTCAGAAACTGGAATTGGAACACAGACTGAAAGTTAGGTCTTCTTATCCATCAGTGGCTGACCTCTGAGAAATGCCCTTTTCGCTAAATGAGCACACCTTTCCACAAACATTGCGGAAAGTCTTTTCAGAAGACTTAAGGCTGTTAAAAGTTCCAAGGGGGTAAACGTCATTAATGCCCATGTTTTTTAGAATGAGATGCCCAAGAAAATCATGCAGATGTGATGGTGTCCACAAACTTTTGGTCATATAGTGTGCAAAGACGGTAAGTTGCCACTATTGTTCATTGGATATCAGTATGTCATATGCAAGCGCTGTTGCCAACTTACCATAATAAAAAGATGCTAAACCTTTTTCTGCAAACTTATTTTAAAACAAAAATGTGTTGACACGTTTCCCCAAGTAACAAATTTTCACTTCCTCTGGTCTTGAAAATAACATAGGTGTCCATTTTAAAAAAAAAAAAAAAAAAAAAAAAAATTTGAACGAATGGCACAAAACGAACATGTTGTTCTACGATGTTTGCCTCCATATAATAGCAATAATATAGGTATTATGGCCACTAAATGGAACAGACTATCGTAAAAAAAAAAAAAATCAACCTTATGGGAAAATATGGACAGAAGTTGTGATGACTACGTGAGTGCTTGTGGAAAAAGGAAATAAAAAAAAAAAAATTTTTTTTTTATAAATAGACCACATAATCTATGAACAGACATATGACCGGATAAGGACAGTGTCATTCCTTAGTGTATTGAAATGGGGCCTTGTTCTGCAAGAGACAAAATGTGTCAAAGTATCTGGTTTCAATATGTATATAGATCTAAAATGAACTGTACTATAGACTCAATCCCCCAGCAAACAAAAAAAAAAAAAAAAACAAACACAAACATGGTTTTAAATGTTTCACTTTTATTTAAAAATACTGTAGAGCTGTACCCACTGAAGCACAGAAATTTGGTATTTCCAGATATTTGCCAACTCTGCATGATCAATAAAATATTTATTTAATTGCTATAGTATTAAAGGAACCTATTATCTTTGTGACCTGACCAGAATACTTGCTTCTAGTTAAAGATTCTCCAGATATTGAAGCAAGAATAAGGATGACAGTCCAAGAGCTTGCACCTTTAAAAACAGTTCTTTAGCTTCCATAGTCCTTTAAAAATGACTAAAATCTATATTTTCAAAGAAAATACAATTTGCAGTTTTAGGTATTCTTTGTAACCTATTCCTACTAGAGATTCAGTATTTTCAGAAACAAAGGCATTTTACTTTAAAAGCTATCCTTATAGGTATCATGAGCCATAAAGGAAGCAGTAAAAAAGTATCTGGAAATAGTTTGTACATATTATACAGTATTATATTTGGTGGATAGGTCTATGAAAAGCAATTGTAATGCAAAAAGCATATTCTTATAAAAATATTTAAGAAAAAAAATCTGTACATTTTAAAGTGGTGTTTTATGTGCATCTACAAAAAGGCATTTTATACACAACAGACTATTGTACACTTTCTGGCTTTAGAGAACACAAGACAACACAAAATAAGTACCTAACAATTTAGAAATAAAACACACCACTTTATATATTTTTTTTTTTTTTAAAAAAGTACATATTTAAATATCAGTGCAATTTACCTTGTTAAAAAAAAAAAAACAAAAAAAAAAAAAAACACACCACATAATTATATATCCGTCTGTCATTTGGGAAAGGAATGAATTAGCTCTTAAATTAAAAGTTACTCCATCTTGTCATTGCCACAATAGGCTAGTTACAGTATATGCTTGTACTAACTTAACAAAAAGCTAGTGCAAGTTGGAATTAGCCGAATGTTTAATTTTGAATGGCAAATAAAAAAGGCATATAAGCCCCCTCACCCGCACTTTCACCAAGAGTTATGGTTTGGACATGTGAATGCTATATAGAAACTAGATTAACCTCCCTGGCGGTGTTCCCGAGTGTAGCTCGGAGTAGTTTCATTGCCACAAGCGGTAACCCCGAGCTACACTCGGGCTTACCATGCGGCACTGCTCTGCGATCCCTCTTGCACTTACCTTGTCCTGCACTCCCGCGATGTCCCTTCTGCAGTGTCCCTGGCAATGTAATCCGGCGGATGCCGGCATCTGTCATCTGGGTTCCGTCCCCTGCAAGCGTCGAGACGTATGGGGGACGGAACAGCAGGAAATTTGAAAATGACAAAAAGTGACATTCACTAAAATCACGTAGTAAAACATTACTGTATCAAAGCATTTCACATACATTTTGGCCCAAATGCTTTGTCCTGTGCCCTGCCTACATTTTTACTGTGCTTTCTGCCTGGAAACTGAGAAATGTCCATGGCGTCCAAAAAGTGTCCCTTTAGGTCAAAAGCGGTTTTAGACCAGCTAGAGAACAGCGATAGTAAATCAGAACCACTTGCAGAATTGAGTGATGATTCATGGGGAAATTTGTCAGACACTGAAAACGATTTTGCGACTAAGATCAGTGATGTGCGAACTTGGCGCTATATTTCAAATTTCAGTGTTTTTGGTTTGATTATATTATTGAATTAAATGTATTATATTATTTTTTATGATTAAATTATAAATTTAGGATTTAGTGTTTCAAATTTTATCCTACCCGGGATATTTACTAGACTCTTGTTCAGACAGATTTCAGTGAGTTATTCCTAAGAATTACAGGCCTACAATAAAAGAAAATACATATTTCCATGCAAAAAAAAGGTACCGCTTTGAGCACAGAAATATGGACATAATCAGACCGCTAGGGAGGTTAAAACCTAATCAAACGGTCGCAGTGTAGCCTAGAATTATGTGACAAAAATCTTTTTGCATTAATTTTTAAGAGTTATTAATATTTTGCTTTGTTTAGCAGCTGTATGCTGTAAGCATAGATTCTTGCGGGGGAAAACAAAATATTATATACAAAAACAAGGTGCAGATCTCATCCTAATAACATGGACTACTAACATAAAAAGGCATAAAGAACCACAAAAAAAAAAAAAAAAAAAAAAAAAAAAAACAACATAGAACCTTAAGTTCCTAAGACAAGCTTTGCAAAACAAAACAAAAAAAAATTTTTTTATACCATATAGTAATATTGAACACTTCCTTACAACAATTGGATTTTGCACTATTATTTTTTACTGCATATAAATAGTGATGTTGCAAGAGCAATGGTTTGAAAATAGTTAAAAAAAAAAATTGTTGCATCCTTTATGGTCATATTCATAGTAACTTCAATGGGAATATGAACTCCCTTTAAAAAAAATTTTTAATAAAATTTGATACTGTGCCATGATCAGAATAAAATTGCATATATAAAAACACACAAACAAAATGGGTTTCGCAATTTCAAATTAACGTAGCATCAGCATAAGGCATCCAAAATAGTTGTCTTAGAACAAAGTTGGGCATGGATCTTTTAGTGGTCCCAAAATCTTTTTGGGTCTCCGTATTGGGAATATTAAGTTCATTGGGTACCAAAGCTTTTGGGATTCCATGAATATTTGGAAACGGACAGAGGTTTGCAAAAAAACCAACATTTGGGGTTTCAAAACATGAGATTTGATAAGCAGCAGTATTGAATATGAACTTGCTGGAAAATAACATGACAATTATGATTAGCTTTACCCTTCAAGTACTGTCAATACAAGGAAAAACACTATTAGGGGATTTCATTTGATTCTTTTTCTGTAGGCAGTAATCTATTTTACAAGTGACTGAGTGAATTTCTGCTTAAAATGAGATACTAAAAAAAAAAGGCGACTAAGCACATGATAAAGACAGTCTGCTGATAAAACACTCATTTTTTTTGCACAAACTTCTGCTAATGTCCTGAATTTTGGTTCCAGATTATTCAAAAAGTCCATCCTATCATCATCTCCTCGAAGTTCACTACAACAACCTACAGAACCAGCTGCTGATCCTCTTCCTTCATAATTGTATGGGACAACATAATCCTCACCATGCTGAGTTTCCTCATTTTGTCCATACATATACAATTTCTGCAAGGATAAATAAGTGGGGTTAAACAAACTCTTAAAATATTCTATATAGAAAGAACACGGGTCATGAGATCACTAATCACTTCTGATACAACTGATGTCACAAAATAAAAATGGTGTCATTATCACAAATGAGCAAGGCATGAAAATACATTCTGGAGCAATGAAGGTCTACATACACCAGCCACTTTATTATTATTAGGTACACAAGTGCCAAAAAAATATTTCCCCCACACCATTACACCGCCACCAGTCTAAACCGCTGATACAAGGCAAGACAGATCCATGCTTTCATGTGGTTTTCACCAAATTCTGACCCTACCATTTGAACATCGCAGCAGCCAATCTGCCTATTCTCCTCTGACATCAACAAGGCATCATCATCCATACAAATGCTGCTCACTAGATATTTTTGCTTTTTCGGACCATTCTCTGTAAACTCTAGAGATGGTTGTGCATGAAAATCCCAGCAGATTAACAGTTTTTGAACTACTCAGACGAGCCCATCTGGCACCAACAACTATGTTATGTTCAAAGTCACCTAAATCCCCTTTCTTCCCTATTCTGTTGCTCAGTTTAAACTTCAGCAAGTCCTCTTCACCACATCTACATGCCTAAATGCATTGAGTTGCTGCCACGTGATTGGCTGATTAGCAATTTGTGTTACCAAGCAATCGAACAGGTGTACCTAATAAAGTAGCAGGTGAATGTATAGAATGAAAGTATACGTACAGTCACAAGGGGAAAAAAAAAAAGTTGCTCAAAATCACAGAATTTATACTTTCACTGCCTAAGCGTTCAAATGAAAGTGAAGAAAAAAAAAGTTGAACCTGCCCAGAAAAACCTCAGAAACAGTCAGTAAATCAGAACACTAAAGGCTGTTTTAGCAAGGTGTTTGCAAATGTCATCACCTACTGGGATTTTCACATCATAGTTCTAAGATCCACTCTTTAGCCTTGAACTCTTATTCCTCCTGTTGTATTCTTTATTATAAAAAGAATGGGAAATCCAACAGTATGAAACAAGATGGGAGCTTAGAAGCAGATAGTAGACAGATATCACAAGTCCTGTATATAGAAAACTATTAGGTTGTTCAAGATGCCAGTAGATATCCAAAATAAAAACATCAGTTTTGGATAAATGGCATAATGTCCATGCAATATATTTGGAAAAGTGACAATTAAAGGACGTTTTGTTAATGCAAATAAAAAAAAAAATATGCATAAAATTATTCATCCTTCCAGCAATCCCAAAAAAAAAAAAAAAAAAAAAATTATAGCCTATCAAACTTCTAGCAAGATTATAATGGCTTCAATGTCAAATTACTTCAGTTCTTACATTACAATATTTTATCAGAGACACCTGATCCGCTATGCACAAGTGTACTTACATCTCCAAGGTGAGTGTTCATAAAACTTTGCCACTCTGAATAGGTTTGTCTGCTGGAGTCAAATCTTTGATGTCCTCCTCCCATAGACTGTAGAGTACCCATGCCTCCCATAGACTGTAGAGTACCCATGCCCCCACCTGATTTTAGGTGGTGGTCTGTCATTTTTGATGCATTCATCTGTTGATGCCTGATTTGAGTCATTTCTTGACCATTCTGATCATATGAACCAGACTGAGCATTTCCACTTGTATTGCTGTTTATAATGGTAATTGGGACTTTCATATTTGGATCCTAACAGAAAAGTAAAAGAAGAAAAAAATAGAGCATCCATTAGTTTGCTTATTTAACAGGTTATGCAACAGCTCCGAAATCTTTAGAGAAGGGATAATCGCTAAACCTTTACTTCTGTGATCACAGATTTTTCAAAACAAAAATTTTAATTCTATTCTTTGCGACATTCTCAAGTCCGACCACACCAGAATGTATGCAAGCATGTTGCATTGCGTAGTTTTTTTACATTTACATGATGTTGAAAAAATAAAAGCATGTCTGTACAGCATGCAAAAGAAATTTCCCAATATACCACAGTGTCAAACTTTGGCCTCACTAAAAGACATTCTTCAAACTCAGGCAAGAGAAATAACCTGTAAGACCACACATCTTGAGTGAACAAGTCTTAAAAAAAAAAGGAAGCCAGTACGGATTGCCATTGCCCACTCCATTTCCTGCACACTTGTTCTAGCTTGGCAATTCAGACAATATCAAAGCCAGAGAAAGACATATATTCACAGGAGATAGTCAGCAATAACTGCTTCAAAAAGTTCTTATAGCACAGGTTTCCTTTAAAGTGCGCTCCAGCCGGAAATAGGTGTCCGTTTATGAACCAGCGATAAATGATCACTGCTCAGTTCTCCGGCATTCTCGGAGAACACAACTCTCCTGTGAATGGCTTTTATGAAGCAGTTCTCCGAATGAAGGGAGAAACGGTCTACAAATGCTGGAGAACGGTCTACAAATGCTGGAAAATGGCTGATTTTACTATAATCTTGCGAGATTACAGTAAAAGATCAGTTTACTAAGCAGAGGTAAATTATCGCTGCTTAGTTTGCGGTCCCTCTGATTCTCCAGCTCTGGGCTGGAGAATCTGGAGGGAGAACACAGACCTCCAGTGAAGGGCTGAACATGTTCTCCGCTGATCTCCTGAGTGTCAAACTGTGAATGACCAGAGAGTAGCTGCGATCCTCTGAATCGCAGCTATTCTCTGTGTCATAAACGGACACCTTAATTTGTTCACCGAAAGCTTCTCCATGTAGTAACCACTCCCTACAGAAAAGTTGTTAAATGAGACCTGACCACTTAAAATATACAAACCTGTCCTGTTGTGACCAAATCTCAAACTATAGACCGGAGATTTATAAAGAGCCATTGCACAACTATCCCTGCTGTATTTCAGCTTATAAATGCCTAGGGTCACTATCCTCAGGTACTCTGCCTCCTTGAGTGACACCATATAAGCCCAGCAAGAATCCTAACGTATGATACAGGGCAGCTAGTCATGTGGGAGCTGCATGATAGTGTTATGGATGGATAGAGAAGTTTGGGCTATACATTAGGTTCACATACTGTATTTACAGAGGTGTTGGTGAGAAGAATTTAACTTTACAGGTTGAGTAAAATTTTTAAAGAACCTTTTTTGGTACCTTTATTAAAAATGTAGGCCATTGTTTGGCATTAATAGTTCTGTTTCACAACTTGTTCTCACAAAATACAAGTCTATGAATTGATTGATTTTAAAAAAAAAAAAAAAAAAATCTCCCTTTGCAAACAATATATTGCCTCAGTAATCGTTGTTATGCAGAGCATTAGTAGTACAAGAAAAAAAAAAAAAAGAAAAAGAAAAAAAATAATGAAGACAGCATTTTAAAAGTCACATTAGAAATTACTTAAATTCTAATTCAAGATATGTGCTCATTGCATGAAGCGGGAAACAAGACCATATAATAAGTAAACTTACCATGACATCTGCTCCAGGTGCTTCTGTATTTGCAACAATCAAGTTCTGCTGTGCTGCATCATCAACAAAACCCATAGTGCCCTTGTCTGGTGCAGCTCTACACAGGCATGCCAACAAAAGACCTGTGGACAAAAAAAAGGGAAATTGAGTGAGTTCCCCACATCCTTCCACCAGTACCTTCTATATTTTGTCTTAGCTAAATTTATTTGGTTTAAAAAGTAAAAACTGGTCATATGAGAAACACCTATTTTCCATTGCTGACCTTATTCTAAAAAATGCTAGTTGTCAGACTGTCATGCTAAGTCTCTAACTTTAGTACCTTGACTTAGGAGAATTATGCAGATCAGCAATGAGCTCATGCATATTAGGAAACAAGACCAAACCTGCCTGAGCTACCCCGCCAATAAGCTGTCAAAGCTGACAGCCAATCAGAGGCAATGGAGGCTTTTCCTGCCCCATACCCACACATATACACACCGCTTGCATAGGTGTGGCTGCAAGGCAGGGAATGCCTCCACTGTGATTGGCTGTCTACTTTGACAGCTTACCAGCAGAATAGCACAGGTGGGTTTGGACTCATATCCTAACCTGCCTAAACTCATCCCTAATCCAGATCAGGAGTTCTGACTTCTCTTGTTTTCTCAGTTTTTGGTTCAATAATGCAAAAACAGAAGAATAGCATACCCAAGCAACCAGAATTTCAGAAGGCATTATGTAATGATAATCAAAGTATTTTTCCTATGACTGGTGTCCTGAACATTTATAAATAGGTCCTGAAATATCTTAAAGAGAGTGGTTTAAAAAGTTGACTTTTACCCTTGGAGAATAACCTCACGCTTCCAACAGTTCATAAAGTTGAAAACATTTCCCTAGTCAATCTTATGGAAGCCATGGAGACTTGGGAGAACAGATGCTGTTAGATTTAAGATTTCATATTAGCAGCAGATGCGCATACCAATAGCACAACATTAGCTCTGTCTTATTTCAGGGACTTCTATAGCGCCGTCAATTTACGCAGCGCTTTCCATATTTTATACATTCACATCAGTCTCTAACCCTCAAGGGGCGTACAATCTAAGGTCCCTAACTTTCATTCATACATACACATACTAGGGCCAATTTAGACAGGAGCCAATTAACTACCTGCCGACCGCAGATAGCCGAATGACGGCTGCACTGCGGCCGGCCAGTTCTGGGTGGACGTCATATGACGTCCTCCCAGAACGCGCTCTCCTGCGCGCCCCAGGGGGCGCGCACCCGGCGATCTCCGTGATTGCTGTGTCCTACGGACACAGCTGATCACGTGATGTGGTAAAAGGCCAATCACAGCGGCCTTTTACCACGTGATCAGCGGTGTCCAATGACACGCTGATCACAGGGAAATGCAAGTGCCGGTTCTCGGCTGCACTTTCCTCACGCTGTCAGATCGTGAGGAAAGTACTGCCGAGAACCGGCAGTTGTCAGAGCGGGGATCGGCACCGATCATCAGGGCACTGATGATCAGTGCCCTGATGATCGGTGCCCAGCAGTGACACCCGCAAGTTCTGCCCAGCAGTGCGCCCACTAGCTCCGCCCACCCGTGCCCAGCAGTGCCCCCACCTGTGCCACTCTGCAGTGCCACCTACCTGTGCCCAGAAGTGCCACCCACCTGTGCCCACCAGTGCCACCCACCTGTGCCCACCAGTGCCACCCACCTGTGCCCACCAGTGCCACCCACCTGTGCCCACCAGTGCCACCCACCTGTGCCCACCCACCAGTGCAGCCCAGCAGTGCTGCCAGTCAGTGCCACCAGTCAGTGCCCAGGGGTTGTGCCAGTCAGTGCCGCCAGTCAGTGCCCAGCAGTGATGCCAGTCAGTGCCGTCTATCAGTACCCATAATCAGTGTCACCTATCAGTGCCTATCAGTGCTGCATATCAGTGCCGCCTATCCGTGCCACCTCATTAGTACTGCCTATCAGTGCCCATCAGTGCCGCCTATCAGTGCCCATCAGTGGTGCCTCATCAACGCACATCAGTGAAGGAGAAAAAATACCTGTTTGCAAAAAATTTGAAAAAAAAAAAAGTTTTTGTTTCTTTTATAAAATTTTTCACTTTTTTTTATTTATAGCGCAAAAAGTAAAGCGCCCAGTGGCGATTAAATACCACCAAAAGAAAGCTCTATTTGTGAGAAAAAAATTATGGGTACAAATTTGCATGACCGCACAATTGTCAAAGTGCGGCAGCGCTGAAAGCTGAAAATTGGCCTGGTAAGGAAGGGGGTATAAGTGCCTGGTAGGCAAGTGGTTAACCTACCAGCATGTCTTTGGATTGTGGGAGGAAACCAGAGTACCCAGAGGAAAACCACGCAAACACAGGGAGAACATGCAAACTCCAGGCAGGTGGTGCTGTGGTTGGGATTTGAACCAATGACCCTAGTACTGCCAGGTGGAAGTGCTAACCACCTAGCCACTGTGTTGCCCGTCTTAACCCCATGCCTGTAAATCTTAATCCAAATGTATCCAATTCATTTTTTGTATAATGTTCTGCATCACTATCATGAACAGGTGAGTAATGGCAAAAATAATGATCATCTACATATGAACAGAAATTATACCCCTTCAGCCAGTCACATTTATGTATGAATATTCAAATCAATAAAAAATCCAGGTTTATATTAAATTGAAAATATGGTGGCTGAATAGGAGAGCCACAAATTCCAGATCATAGCTAATTTTATGATCATTACGTGAACAAGTGTCGATACAAGGAGATAGAAACAATCAGTCCATACAGACTTTCTATGCCCAAGTTATAGGAAGCGGTTTTATAATAAGCAGTCTGTTGAACAGTGTGTGAAGCTTGAATGGCGCTGCTCCAAAGCCAGATTCATAGAAAACGATCACCACACTGGCATAGCAATAAAGGGAGCAGCATCTTAGGTCCGTTCCAGTTTCTAGAGTAAGGTAAAGGGGGAGCGGATGCCGCTCAGAACCAGCCCCAGGAGTCCGCCACGTTGAGTGTGTAGAGTGGTCTCAGCACCGCGCTAGAAAAACTGACACATTTCACCCCATCCATTGAGGCTTAGCCTCTGTGACTAAGTCCTGATGCGTAGGGAGAAATGGTCAGTGGATGTGGTTGGTGCGGTGCTGAGGCCACTCTACACACATGGTGGATTCCTGGGGCTGGTTCTGAGCAGCATCCACTCCCCCTTACCTTACTCTAGCCTGTTGAACTGTTACAAATTCAGAAGAGGAGCCCAGATTTTGCTGAAGGCACTAGTGCAAATGTACACAGACTCATGTTCACCACTGTACCTAGCATTTCTAGATTTTTGGGGGATTTTTATTTATTTCTTTGCTTCTTAAAAATGGACAGTTAAGTCAACAACTTCTTTTCTAGTTTCGAATAGAGTTGGGAAGAATGAGATCTTGTGAGTTTTTGTTATTTTGGACTATTAGAAAGATTTGTCCTCACTTCTTGTACTACCGACAACAGTTTCCTCAGACAGGAAGTGAAGTAAAATATTCAAAAAGGAGCAAACACTAAAATTTGATAGACGTTCTAGCCTTTCCATACTCTACTAAAGAGAATAATTTTTACTTGTTTGATACTGTTGGAAAAATGTATCAAAGGCAGGAAGACTGACAGGGATGAGTTTAGCTTTTTGAAAAATAAATTCATGGATCAGTACATTGAAGGAGTGATGGCTGCACACCCAATCTATTTGTTTCATGGGAATGGAGAGGAGCTTGGGAGCAAGAACAGCAGCAGTAGCTGAAAGCATCAGTAAAACTTCACTTAGCAATAGTTTTCTTTCAGCCCCTCAATTCCTGTCTGGTAAAATGATTTCAGCAGGACAGGTAACTCGTGTAAATCTCTCCAGCTGTAAAAACCTGATGGGAAGCTGTAGCCTTTCCCTACTCATCAAAACCTATGAAAATGTTTTTGGCTGGACATAAACGTTAGCATACTAAACTTGAACATAATAGGTCAATAAATGCAAGAGACAGGGGCAATGGGTAAAGATGGCTATAAATGGCCCAATAAACAAGTCATGCTTATTATGGTACAGGGTGATTTTAAAGCCATGGGTGTGGAACAGATAAAACTAGAAAAGCTACGATTTCTGGGGAAATTGTGTGAAGTGTTCTTGCCTCCACCTGTAGTCTACAACTCACACTCTAGCTTTTGTCACTCTGCTGCCTGCTCACACACCTGGGTTCCTATGGCAACTCACTCTACAGCAAGGGCAGAGAAGAGCGGTTAAAAACAAACTGCTCCAACTTGCTCACTTCACTGGCAGTTGCCATTTTCAAATGGCTGTAGTTTAAAAATTGTAAATCCTACACCGAAGAGCTTTATATTGTGGGAATCACAAGACCCAGACCTACATTTGTATGCATAGTATGTCTCTAAAATATTAAAAATGAAGGCACAGTCGCAGTTTAGAAATTGCCCTTCAAATTTGAGGTGGCTAGAGTGGAGTTTCAATGAATGTCAATGGGCGGTGTGTTGCAAACAAATGGTCATATTGTGAAAACTATCAGGGCTATGGCTTAGTCAGACATTTTTAGTGGCAGCAGGGATAGCTGAACGTTTTGATATAAGATTTGTGTAGGTGGGCTTGAAAACGAGGGAGTGATGGCAGTTTAGAAATCATGTCCTGATTTTTCAGCTCACACTCTAGCTTTTGTCAGTTCCCACTCTAGTTTTGAACATTCCGCCATTCATTCCTATGGGACCAATTTCACCACAAAAACGCTGATATTTTGTGAACCATTCGGCAAAATGTTCCACAAAGTAATTGCACACCAATCGGGGACAATCCGCACGTTTTGGTATATTACAGTCTATGTAGTGTAAAAACTGGGAGGAGTTAGGGCGGTAAATTTGGCTATAATAAGAATATGTATGTGAGATAACAGTAAGTGGTCTTGCCATGCAAGAACACCTAAATACATGCAGTGCATATTATGCCGACTACATATCACAGCAGGTCCCAGCATTGGAGTGAAAGCGGATGAGATTATCTTCCCATATGTAGGTAGTCTATGCTCACTTCCTAGTACATTTTAATAGAAAATTAAGCGGACAAAAAAAAATAAAAAAATAAAAAAAAAAAAAACACCAAACAATCTAATATTCTAAAATGGATGCCTATCACCAGAAGACAACATAACAAAAAATTAGTTAGTGGTCAATCTCATTTAACACATATCGAATGTGGCTTGATGCACAACATATCAGAATACTAGTGTATGCGCTATGGCTATATAATATCAGATAGGCATTGTCTCAGTATAACAGTACATTTCCTTAATAGGTGATGCAAATTGATGATCCTGACCGTAGTTTTTTTTGTAGTAGGAGATATATTAGAGGAGTAATTAAAAAACATACTTACAGAGAAGTAAAGCAAACAGCAGTGCTGACAGAACCATTACAAGAATAGCCAGCCCTCCAAGTGCATGATTTGAGTTAGTACGTGGCGAAACACAGTTCTGACCATCAGGACAGTTACACACTGAAATTCGCACGTTCTCGATTGTGGCACGACCTAATTGATCAAGTATCTTTACTGGCACAACATACTCTCCAACATCATTACCAGCATTTTCAATTCTAATCGTATTATCTGTAATAGAACACATTTTTTTTCTTTAGAGCTAGAAAAAATTAATACACAAAATTAAACAACATTTGCAGTGACCATTTAGTTAGGACAATCTAGGGAGTGCACAGCTTCACCACTTAAATGTTTCAGTGACCCAAGCAAAATGATTTAATATAGTTAAAAAATGTGTAAAGTCTTGTCACAAGCACAGTTTAAATAGGTACCATGTCTCAGTGTATGTGTATCATGACCAAGTAAAATGGCATTTTTACATGAGGCAGACACCTAAACAGCATTTTGCTTTCACTTCATTAGATGGATTGAAGCAAACAAATTTACAGTTATACCAAGCTAGGTGAGCATTCACTTTGCATAGTGAACAGCCTATACCATTTTAGTAAATCCACTCCAATGATTCATTATGTAATCTTTTGCAACATAGGGAACTGGCCTAAAATCCTAATTTACATTTGCTAGCAGTTGCCCTTTCAGTCTACTGCAGACTTATTATGTCAATAGTGAGAAAGAGGTGCCTAAACCTTTATGCAATAAAGTGAACTAAAAAAAAAAAAAATAAAAAACTAAATAAAATAGAAATAATAAATTATGTAAGCAGCAAGGAAGGCGCCTCTAAGTGCAGTATGCAGCAGTTTATTGGATTAGAAAAGGTTAAAAGCACTTACGAAATAGCAATCAGATAAAGGCTCATCAGGTGTAATGCCAAAAAGCACACTAAGCCGACCAGTGGTAGGAAGTGTGGTGGAACACACAGGCAAGATGTCCATCGTAATTCCAGGAGAGGCGTGGAACGCACACGCAGGACGTGATGTCAAGGGGGCAATAATGCCGAAATGCAATTTCCACGGTTTGAAGGAATGTCTGTGCATGCTCCAAAACAGCATTTTGGCATTACCGCCCCCTTCACATCATGTCCCGCATGTGTGTTCCCCAGGGAGATTTAGCACACATATGGGAACCAGATCACCAGTAAGGTAGGTCAACACGGGTCTCAATTAATCTAAGCAAAAGCTGAATGCAGGTTTAGTTTACAGTACATATTCAAATTCACATACCATTTTCTTGGATAAGGCGCCACTGATTCTGAACCCTTGGGTCTACGCTGCTGTCGAATTGAAATCTGTATGGAAATTTGTTGACACTGCCATCCCTGTCAATTGCGTTAAAGTTGTCATATGTTCTACCGTTTGTGCAAACACTGCCGGAAATCCTTGACAGGCCTACTGAATGTTCATCAAGATCCATAAGGTTTATCACAAGAGTACAGGTGCCAGACTTTCCAGCTGGTTAATAAAAGTGAGAGAAAGCTTTATATTAATTTATATACATATATATATACACACACACACACACACACACACACACACACACACATACATTATTGGAATCCTAACGGTTTAAAATACAAGCAAAACAAAAAAAATGCTGCTTTGACATTCAACATTACGGGGCAGATTTATAAAGCAGGTAATCTGACATTCATTGCAAGTGATTCTTCCAGGTGCATAAGTTTTAAAAGAAAATGAATGATATACCACCAGTCAATTTCACTCTATAAATATGGTCCAAATGTTAGGTGTACAGTTTATTTTTAGGGTCAAAGTAAATGTTAAAGGTATAACATCATTCTGCTCAGTATACGTATATATGTGTCCTCGCCAGCAACCAGTTATACCAGGGTCCTGGCAGTTATTGTTTTTTTGAGCCAGCAAACCACTTTAAAACAGCTTTTAAGAGTGATACAATTGGCTTTACAGCCATGCAATTACTCTTTTCCAGTGCTCGGAAGGAACCCCATGCCGCCCCCCATTCCCACCCTTCTCAGTTCCACCAGGGAGCCTGGGCCACTGTAGGCAGTCAGGTCAGTTGCTCACAAAAGAGATGTAGGAAGACTACGACAATAGAGGTTGTTAGTACAATGTTGGCCTAACTTCATAACTACAGTTTCAGTATTTTTGCGACTTCAGTTAGACTATGAGGATACTTTAGAGCAGGGGTCTCCAAACTGTGGGCAGCAGGTCAAATGTGGCCCTTTGCTTGCCTTTATCTGGCCCTTGGTTGGTCATCCCTCCCACCGACACCAGTGATGGGGTGCCATTCCCCCACCGACACCAGTGATGGGGTGCCATTCCTCCCACCGACACCAGTGATGGGGTGCCATTCCTCCCACCGACACCAGTGATGGGGTGCCATTCCTCCCACCAATTATTTTTTTTTATTTTTTTCCCCTCTTACGGACCACCAAGCCTATGGCATTGTTTACTCCCACAAATGCCAGGGCATTTTCTTCTCCCACTGACCAGTCTGGCCCACTTGAAGTAACTGCCCCTTTGTTGTTTCAACAGTTTGGCGACCCCTGCTTTAGAGTAAAAGACACTTAGGGGGCTGCATGTTTTACACGGTTCTTGGCCTTGAGAGCTGCAGAGATCCAAAATATTGCTTTACATGCTACAAAAATGCAACTAAATACCATCTTGATCTGCTTTTATTTGGTTTTCTAATTGTGGTTTCTTTGTGGGTCCAAATTTGTTTTCAAATTAGGGAAAGTCAGAAGCCGTTACTGCATCATAAAACTTGACCTAAGAATAGTTACAACAATTTCAAATAGTGTTAATTTTCAAGTTCAATTATCTAGACCAAAATTGGGACAACGTTTGGTCATAAACATCGATTAGAGAATTTAAAAAAGTTCTTTAATTCACTCCACCACCAAGTACTTACCTTTCCTTTGGCTCCCTACACTCCATGCAGCTGCTAAGAGCAAGGAAACGCAGCCCTATTGAAACTAAGTTGCTTTAGGTGGGGCTCCCATAGGGCCAAGGACTCCCCTTGTCTCCATGTGACAGTGCTGGGTGTTGCAGGAGCGAAGGAAAGAAAACAAAAAAAAAGTACTTTTTTGGGCAGCGGGCATTAAAGTGAACCTATTTTACGCTGTATTGCTTTTACAGCTCATTGGTAGTGATTTAGCCCACAACACCCGATTGAAACGCACTCTGCACCATTCAGGCCAGGACATGATGAATTGTGATTGGCCACTCTGGGTTATATCACCAAGTATTAGAATTCTTTGGGGACTGAGGCCTTCAATGCAACTTATTGACAGCTTACAAAAACACGAATTAATAAAATCAACACTTCACATGCAGCACAACTCAATTAAAGCCTTACATGCATCAGTTGCCAAAAATGTTATATTATACTTGTGATTTGGAACATCTTTGGATTCATAGTCCATAATTTGGGCAGTAGTAATTCGACCATTATCAGCCACACTGACCCAACCCAGTGGATCGGATAATTTTTGGTACCTGTGGAGAAGATTTAAATAGTATGTTAGTCCATTAAAAACCAAAACACAGTTCCCTAAAGTGAACCTGTGCTTTTCCATCCTGGGCAGCTCACTTAACGGATGCCCTCCCATGTTAGTTACTTTCTTGTTCCTGATGGGGGGGGGGAGTGAATGAAAGTTTATTTGAAGCTTATACAGGGAATGGGGCTTTTAACACTCCAGGTGAGAAAACTGGGCACCACGTAGCTAATCATCAAGCACCACTGCAGCGAAAGGCAATAAGTAACATGCTACTCGTTGCTGTAAATACTGGCTATTTCACAGCCAGCAAACAGGTAGACCTGGTAGAGCAGGGAAGGATGGGATGGGGGCAAGAAATAAAAAAAAAAAAAAAAAAAAAAAAAAGGTGGGGAATGCAACCATGTGTTTGGGGGAACGACAGTGGGCAAAGCTTTTCCTAAGTTAGTAAGTATATTAAGCGATTTATAGTCACATACCGTATGCCAGTAGAACTTTTAGTTTCAGGATCAATCGCTGTATATTCTGTAATTTGAGTACCAATGGTTTTATTTTCTTGAATAGTCACTTCTTTAATTTTTGGCTGACATTCAGGACCTTCATCGACATCTTTAACAATGACTGTGACTGGAACAGTAGCAACACCACTGGTTTTTGTCCCAGATTGTGTTATTAGGCTTACTTCATTAGCAACTGCAACTTGTAGTAGAAATCTTTTGTCTTCTTCATAATTTATTCCCTAAAAACAAATATACAAAAATGTCTTAATGTCTAAAGGTGAAAATTCCTAATGCCTGAATGCAGTTTTGCAATTTAGGTGTGTGCTAGTAAAATGGCACACATCACAACTGCTTATATCAATGTAAGAAAACCTGGCCTAAAGTTAAGCAAATTAAAAAACCCTCTACTCCTTGCGTTTGCAGTGATAATACATGTGTACATTTATTGTTGCACCCAAAGTAGGGTCAAGCAACAGTAGTGCAGCTTGACTCAAAGTTTCCTTTAACCTGACATTGCTCACTTGATGGACTAATTGTTTATGTAAGGATAACAACCGAAGGGCTAATTTGACTTCATGAAATAACACAGTAAGACGTTACTTAGGAGGGGAGGGGGGCCTTAGTAACACACATAGCCCGTTCATGCTATACTGCACCATTGTTTGTGAGAATAAGGCCAAAGTGTGCACAAACAAAGTTCTGAAATCCTAATAAGAGCGAGTATTTTTTCATTACATGCAGCCAACATATAAAACAAAGTGCTTTCAATGGTTTAACAGACCAAAATCTTCCAGCTCTATGAAGCTTTCTCTTCCAGAGTAAAAGATTAAAGTGGCTGTAAAGGCTCAATGTATTCCATTCTATGCATGAAGGTTAACCACCTGTGTGCAGCAGCCCCCCAATATTTACCTGAGCCCCCTCTCAGTCCAGCAATGTGCGTGAGAGCCTCAGCTGTCCTGGGTCTCTCCCTCCTCATTGGCTCCCACTACTGTCAATCACAGCCAGTGAGCCATTGAGGAGAAAACAGGGAGTGGGACCAAGCTGCATCTGTGTATGAATGGACACTCAGTAGGGGTTCAGGAGCAAGCCTGCTTGGGTGCCCCATAGCGAGTTTCTTGCTGTGGGGGCACTTGGCAGGAGGAAGGGGCCAGGAGCATAGGCAGGGGACCCAAGAAAGGGAGGATCGGGGCTGCTCTCTGTGCAAAACCACTGCACAGAGCAGGCACATATGACATCTTTGTCATGCAAAAGGAGGCATGCAGTGGCCTGTTGTGAGGCACCTACTTTGTACCAGATAATGGGAAGGGGAGAAAATGTGCTTCAGCACTAAACTGCATCAAAGTCAGTGTTTACTTACTGGATGTAAGCCAGGATCAAAATGATTTAGATCTTGCCCTTAAGCAGATGATTTATATTGGTTTGTTAGAGTGCTTACTGTGTAGGTTATGCAGTTCACCTATTTAAACTTCAAAGCACTCATATCCCTGGTGATAACCCAAAGCTCAAATCCAGCATAAAAAAAACAAAAAAAAACAAAAATGCTGTAGCATTCTCCATTGTACAAAAACTTGATTTTTTTTTCGTGTGTTGTAAACATTTTCCATCACTTCCTATCCTGAATGGGGAGGAATGGAGAAGAAAAATCTTATTCTCCAATCGGGTACACTGATGGGAAAAACAAAAATTCTTTCTTGAAAAAAGGAAACATTTTGGGTGGAGTTGGGCTTTAATGGCTGCCTGAATTTAGAAAAGTAGAAAATGATTTCAACATGGTTTCAAAATGCTGTTAAACTACTTCACAATATGTCGAATTCCCTTTAGGAATGAGAAATCCAAATTCCCTTTAGGAACGAGAAATCCAAAAGCTAGCAAGTAAATAAATTAAAAAAACAGCCACATTCTTTCTGCACTTACCTTTACAACCCAAAGCAGCCCTTCATTTGTCTTTGGATCAGTAGTTATATTGAAAAAGCGCTTCTCGTTCCCTTGTGTGATTGTATACACAGCTCTCCAATTTGAAGTGTTGTATAAGTCATTGTCTGTTACAGGGATTCTCAGTATGACTATTCCACTTTCATTTTCATTCACTTCGGTCTGATACTAAAAAAATGATAGAAAGATTCATTACACTTGAAAAGCTATAAAGATTATTTAACTGTTTTTTAAAGGCAAGACCGTACAAAGAAACCTCTAGCCAACATCAACCGATGTCTGCTAGCATGGATTTGTGATTGTAAACAAATTCATTTGGATCGAATTGGATGAATCCTGACCAGTAAAAGTGTAAAGCTTAAAGGATGGAACACAAACTTACTGATTGCTGAGAGAAGACTGGTGCAAAATCATTCACATCAACAACGGTTATAGACATGGTGCCAGTGGAAGACAAACAACCTATGCTGCCACCCATATCACGCACTTCAAGTACAAGACTGTAGTGGTCCAATGTCTGCAAAGTTAAGCACATGCATGTATTGTTTACAGAAATGTCAATGAATAGAACAGTGCTTGATTAAAAGATTTATTTTGTATCTGTTGTCTAGTAGTTGCCGTTTTTACCCTTAACATTGAGCTTGAGTAAAATGAAAAACTTTTTTTTATATAGGACTGCATCCTTAAATATAAACTCCGGGCATAACAGGCATGTAAATAATGCAATTATATAGTCATTTAAATTTTAAAAATGGAGCAGTTTAGGTACCTGAAGTTGTTTTGAGATCAACCTCTAGCAACCCCCCTGTACAGCAACACTCAGACTGGGAGGGTGAGCACAGAATTACAAATTTGGCAAGAAACCGTTTTTAGGTCAACTGTTTTTAGATGACTTGAAGTTCAGCTTTATTCAATAGATAAACGCATATGAACATTGCATAGAAGTGTAGAGATATTGATAATCCAGTCCTATAAGTGTGAGCTCATACATCATCTTTTACAAACTAAATTAAAACTGAACAGAGTGGGAAGCCAATCTTCTACTGTTGTACATACAACCCATTTGAGTGCATTCACAAAATAACCTCCCGTCCCCTCCCCAAGCCAGAGCAGGTTACATGTCCTGTGACAATGCCTCAGCTTTTCCAAGCCCTCGCCCCAGGCAGTACAAAGTGGGTTGGAACTGTCAGTCAAGAATCTGATCCACCTGAAGGCATTGGTGGTTACAGCAGATCCTTGAGTGACAGCTGCATTCTGCACTACACAATTTCTTTCCTTGGTTGTCATTGTGCTCAGTACAGTGCAGTATACAGGCAAAGTACAAAGCTGTGAATCTTGTGTCCCAGTCTGATTATTCAGCTCCTGCTTGGCTGTTCAGCTCCTGCTCAACTGAGAATGTTCTGTAATGTGACCTGGATGTTCAAATGCCATTTTGGCTCAATGGCTGCTGTTAAGTCTTAACAGAACATTTGAGCTGTACACGCCTGTATGCTGTCCTGTGCTGAGCACAGTGACAGCCATGGAAAGAGATTGTGTTTAAGGCCTTATGCACAACGGGCATAAAAAAATGCTGCTTTTACAATTTTTTATTCTTTGGCATGTATAAGCAGTTCTAAGTAAATCTGTCCATGCACATTTGGGCATTTACAGGCATATTTGCAGAGGAGCATTTTCAGGCTGGAACACACACAATTACTTTTGCAAGGAGCTTTCTGGCAGAAAAACTGCTTGATGTACAAAAATGCAACGTTTAGGAGTGCTCAGCGTTTCACGTGTACATTGATTATAAAAAAAAAAAAAATGACCAGAGGGAAATATTTTGGGAAAAAAAAATTTTAAAACAGCAAAGTGCCCACAAACGCTCCAACTCTTATGCAATCCAAGCCACGATGAGCATTTTATTCAGCTTTTTTCGTCAGAGGTTCTGGCATTTTTTTCAGCCACCTAGTATGTATGGACCCTGAAGCAAAGTACAACTGTCAGTCAAGGATCTGATCCAGCCACTGATGCCTTTGGGATGGATAAGATCCTTGACTGACAGTTCCAATCCACCTGCACTGCCTAGGGGGAGGGCCTGAAAAAGCTGAGGCAGCAAAGGACATGTGACCTGCTTAAGCTCAGCCCTGCACCCAGCTCAGGCGATGTTGCAGGAGAAAAAAAATTTGCATGACCACCGCTTTACAAGGGGGAAAAAAAAAAAAAAAGGTATTTAATAAATTATTAAAGAACATCCATTGTGTGTCAGCGACTGATCATGTGCCACATCAAGTAGAGGTGGGCACACTATTAGGGTATGGAAACACTTCAATACAAATTAAGATTTGCAAATAGTAACCAAGCACCATAAATCTGGCTTCTCTATGAAATGGTGAACACAAATTCAAATTTCCCATTTAGGTCTGGGATACATTCCTATAGCACCTGTGTATCAACCTGTCTGTCAGGGATAGAAGATTTAATAGGCCTGCCAGAAGTAGTAAGGAATTTTGGCCTCAATAACAGGTTGCAATCTGTATACCCTTGAAAATATTGGAGGAAAAAAAAAAAAAAAAAACACACCACACACACTTACCTCTCGATCAAGCTTGTTTGACAATGTAGTGACAATGCCATACTCTGCATTCACGGCAAAAAGTAGAGGTGATGGAGGAATTTGTCTAAGAAGATAATATCTTAGCAGGGTGTGCCGAGTTTTTGGCTCATCTCTGTCTGTAGCGTTTACTCTTCCCACAACAGTACCTTCAAATGAAAAAAATAAATAATATTAAGAGTGATCAAATAAAAAAATACTCGCTGTAATACCTTTACTACATAACAACTTAGATGAAAACAACTAGACGTCATAAAATACTTTCATTGAATAGAAAAATAAAAAGGCGCTAAAGAAAAAAAAAAAAGTGGAAAATAGGTTTCCTCCCACATTCCAAAGACCTGCTGGTAGGTTAATTGGCTCCTGTCTAAATTGTCCCTAGTATGTGTATGTATGAATGCAAGTTAGGGACCTTATATTGTATGCCCCTTGAGGGTTAGGGACTGATGTGAATGTACAATGTATATGTAAAGCGCTGTGTAAATTGACAGCGCTATACAAGTACCTGAAATAATTAAATTGTAGAGCTCAAGAACCAGACCAATATGGGAACAGGCACTGTAGTAAAAAGAGGGAAAGCTTCTTCAGAAAAGTCATGTGCCACTTTTTTTTACTTTTTGGAATCCTTGGATTTGTTCTTACGGAGCCAAAAACTAGGGCAAAAATGCTACCAACGTTAAAGCAAACATTTACTGAAAGATATTCAAGGTGCCACTGCCAACTTTTTTTTTTCCAAAAAAAATTGCCTACCAGTCAAGCTGCACCAATGATTAAAAACTGTCTAAGCCACAGACATGGAAGTATTAAGCATATCAGGGTATGAATTCACTTGCTGCACACTTAATTTGGGTCAGTGACTCAAAACTACCCAGGCAACTAGAATTTTCTAAAGGATGTGTCAGAAATGACAGCTTACATATTTCCATACAGTATATTCTTTAACCTAACTTAGTGTTACCTCTAAAATTATGCTTTTCCCTCAACCTGCCTTTACACTTACCCTGATGACACTAAAAGGAAAAAAAAAATATAACCCTCAACATTTAATCCTAACCTAAGATTTGAAACCGTAATCACCCAAAACCTATTTTACCAACACTGAATGCTATTCGTGTCACACTAAAGCAACCCTTTGATAGAGGGTTTCAATTTAGGCTAAGATATTTTCATTTGCTTTTTAATGCAAAATGAACCTCTGAATGACATTACAAAGTAATCTCATGTCACCAAGATTAAAAAGCGGTTGTTATGAGTCTTAAGATTTAAGGGCAACTGAAAACCATTCAGTACACAAAATGTCAAAAAGGAGTATGAGTGTCCACAATAGACAAGATTTTTCCCTTATATGATATATCAAAAGTAAAACCCTAAATTTGATGGCTACTATAAGTTGCTTACCAGATTTACTGTGCTCCAACACTTCAGCACAAAACACTGCTTCAGTAAACACTGGGGCATTATCATTGTCATCCCCTATGACAATGGGAAACGACAGAGGGGACTCTGGTGAATATCCATCTAATGTTGCTGCATAAACGGTTAGCTGAATGCAAGATATAAAAGTAGGAGTTATAAATGTCTTACAAAAGCTTTGACACAAAACAAATAGCGGAAAGTGAAGTAAAATACTTAAATTATGAGTAGTCACCATAACAAGTGTCTGTTTCTTCCCTGTTCTTGTTCTGGTGACAAGTCTCACAGAAGAGGAAGGGGGGAGAGGGGAGAGAGAGAGAAAATTGTGTTCCAACTAGAGATTTCCCATCATGCTATGTAATGACAAAAGTGAGGGGGTACAGTGCCTTGAAAAGTATTCATAACCCTTGAAATTTTCTAAATTTTGTCATGTTACAACCAAAAACGTAAATGTATTTCACTGGAATTTTATGTGATAGACCAACACAAAGTGGCACATACTGTAATTGTGAAGTGGAATGAAAATGATTTCAAAATTTTTTACAAATAAATATGAAAAGTGTGGTGTGCAGTTGTATTCAGCCTCCCTGAGTCAATACTTTGTAGAACTAAAGACTTGCAATTCCAGCTGCAAGTCTTTTTGGGGATGTCTCTACCAGCTTTGCACATCTAGAGTGATATTTTTGCCCATTCTTCTTTGCAAAATAGCTCAAGCTCTGTCAGATTGGATGGAGAGCGTCTGAACAGCAATTTTCAAGTCTTGCCACAGATTCTCAATTGGATTTTTGACTGGGCCATTCTAAAACACATGAATATGCTTTGATCCAAACCATTCTATTGTAGCTCTGGCAGTATGTTTAAGGTTGTTGTCCTTCTGGAAGGTGAACCTCCGCCCCAGTCTCAAGTCTTTTGCAGACTAATAGACTTTCTTCTAGGATTGCCCTGTATTTGGCTCCATCCATCTTCCCGTCTCTATTACAAGGCACTGTAAGTCCCCAATAGAGATGCAGAGGGGCAATAAAACCTTCTCAAAAGGCTCTAAACCCTCCCTGTTCCATCTAAAAATAAAAATGTTTGGGCTGCAGTTGAGCTTTAAAATAGCAAAGAAAAAAAAAAAAAAATACACAAACATTCAATAGAATAGAATGCAGACAAGACAAGAGTGGTCAGTATGTGTTATACATTTATTCTACAAAATGGAAAAAAAAAAAAAAGAAAGAAACCTGCATACCGGAAAAGAAGGGTATTCTTCCCGATCCACTAAGCCATTGATGTACAAGTCTCCAGTTTTTGGATCCATCTGAAACAAACCTATTGGTGGCTGATCCACTCCTGGTCCCGAAATGGTGTAAATAATATCATATAGCACCTGAGTGTCAGACTGGAGCTGTATGTGGGGGAAAATACATATTATATTAAAAAGTCTCATTCTGTATTCTGTTATAATAAGAAAAAGGTTGTGGAATACATCTTGGAAATTAAACGTTATTGACAGTATATAAATGCTCCTGTCTGACCTTCTCTTACCCCACAACAGGTAATTCTATTGCATCAAACAAATCTTCTCCCTAAATGTGGCAGTGTGTATTACACCATATGGTTAGAGATGTGGACACCAGACTATGCATGGTCAAAAGCCACAGTTCAGGCATTTCCAAGAAACTGTACAGTTAATGCGATAGCATACAAATACATATTGGACTGTGAGCTTCCAACTTATGATATTTTGGGGAAGACTTTTTTTTCAGTTGCAGCATGACTGTTCTCCTGTTCACGAAGACAGCCCCATAAAGAAATGGTATATTGAGGCACTCATGTTGCCATCAGACAGTCCTGGCTTCTATCCTACTTAACATCTTTGGGATGAACTGAAATGTAGATGAGCCAAGAAGTTTCCTCCAACATCAGCACCTGACCTCACAAATGCCCTTTCGACTTAATGACCACAAGTTCTGAGAAACGTTTCCACAAAGTCATATTACGTTGGGAGCTGTCCTGGTTGCAAAAGAAAGGAAGGTTGGGGGGGTTTAGATTGGTTGTGATAATCATCTGTACACAATCTTTTAGGCCATATGTATATTTTTCCTTGGCAAAACACTCTTATTTGAGAAAAATCACATCATTTCCCACTGAAATGATGCAGCAGCTCATAAAATGTACAAACGTGAAACACAGCAAGCATCACATTTTCAACAGTAGGATATCCTCATCCCTATTATCCCTCACGAAATATTCCTGCCATTGATAGTTAAATATAAACCCACATATAAGCGGTCACAGATGGTTTCTTTCTTATGTGGTAGTGGCTTTAACACTTTCACCAATAACTGAAAAGTAAATGACAGGGATAACAGATTGTTTTAAGAAGCATTAAACCAAAACCTTGCTTACGGAGCCTCAGATACCTTTTGCAAAGCTTCACTGAACAGGTCTGCTAGTAAACCAAAAACTCTGAAGTCAAAATAGAGAGAAATATATACTGGGATACAAGCCCTACCCGTTCAAGATAACATGGAAATTTCCCTCTGTAGTTCTCATTATGTATGATGGGCAGAGGACTCCATCTCCTTTTTGTACGTCTTAGTAGTTCTCTGGTGTATCTTCCTTTGCCAGCCTAAAAATAAGATAAAAAGGAAAACCATGAGTATTTAGCAAAATACAAAAAACACAAGTAGAACAGTGTTAATATGGATTTTATTAGGTATTGGATTTTTGTTCCAATAAATCCATTCCGTGGGTGACCCCATCAGCAATGCCCAAGGCAGAAGAATTCGAGCAGAAAATGCTTGGCGAAAACAGTACCTGCAGCCAATTAGATGTAGGCATGCAAAGTTTTGCTAAGCCCACAACAGTAAAATCACTCCATATATGCAGTAAAACAAGCTCGTTATACTCACTATGGAACCTAAGGGGTTAATCCTTTGCATTGTGTAAGACTGTTTGATCCTGTTCTCGGATACTCCTTTTTCCCAGTCCCCAATCCATCTGCTGATAGTACAGAGCCCCAGGAGGCACTCTGCACATACTTGGTTTGGTTGGTGTGTATGCTAAAGAGTTTTTTTTTTTTTGGAGGGGGTGGTGGTGCAAGTGATCGGCACAGAGCCGATCAGCACTGTCCAGACAGGGTCAGGGATCATGCAATCTGATAGGACAGTCAGGGGAGAATGAAAACTCCTAGAAGCTTTAACCAGTGCTCGGCCGGACACGGATAGAAGTCATAACACTGCTATATATTGCTGATGGGAAAAGGTATTTAGCAGTTTATATTTACTAAAATAATTGCATTTCCATGTTCTGTGTACTGTGGGAGACCAGAGAGAGTGAATGCAGGGTCCTGGGTTTAGTAAGACTTTAAAAGGTATTCTAACAACCACCGGAGACAACTGTTAGAGTACAATAGCCAGCAGTGCAAACTCATCCATTTACATTAATAGATTGACTTCTCTTGTTCAACCCATGGAGCTGCATAGATTATAGTGAAAATTGAGCCAGCTTTGGAGTGGGGGCTGTCGCAACAGGGTTTGGCCTTGCACCAATGGCATAAGTTTGTGACACTTCTTAACTCATTCAGGTGTATTTTACCCACTTCAAGCCAGTTTTGCATTCTCTTAGAACTGTGTAGGATAGCAAAACTGATACAAGCGAACAAAAGCCCTTTGACACAGGCCCTAAAATTCTGTAAACATGCTATCTTCTGACAGGTTCATGAATCATACACCTTTAATCATGAAGTTTTTATCCAGTTCTTACAAGTAAACCAATTTAAAAAAAAAAAAAAAAAAAAAAAAAAAAAAAAAAGATAACAAGTTGGAAAAAAAAGGCACACATCATAAGAACTTGATTCTTCTTGCATAAGCAAAATCTGGTCTTGTACAACAAATGATATTTTAGAGCTTGAGGCTAGTGACTCTTGCTAATACACTGGCTTTAGTTACTAAAAATGTATAATTTTTTTTTTTCTGAGCAATAGCTATTTCACCATACCTTAGAACAGGCTAAATGTAAATATGCTGTTTGGTTGCGGAGGATTTTCATGAGCAAAACAAGTATTCCTTATCTACATATGTGTGTCTTCACTTCTAAAAGGAGTAACTGATGCAATGGCGTTCAAGTTTCTTTAAAAATTGTCATTGCATCCTGTATTACATGCTGTTCATACTCAGTAGCAGACGTGAGCCAATCGAGGGGGGTGGTCAGGGTTGAGCTGTGGCTCTGTGTATGAATGGACATGCAGGGCAGTGACTCGGGAGCACACCTGCTCGAGTGCCCCCATAGCAAGCCATTTGCTATGGGGGAACCCAACAGGAGGGAGAGGCCAGGAGCACTGGCAGGGGACCCGAGAAGAGAAGGAACCTGGCTGCTCTGTGCAAAACCACTGCACAGAGCAAGTATAACGTGTGTTATTTTTAAGAGAAAAAAAAAAAAAAACTTTAGTATCACGTTAACTGCTTCCCATCCGCCCTATAGCAGAAGTACTGCTACAGGTCAGCACAAGTGCACAAAATCACATATATACACACACACTTGATTTTGCTGTTCCGGGTAGTGGGCACACGCTCTACCCGAGCTGCGATTCATGGCCTTGGCTGTCAATCACCGGGTCCCAGCCGGTGATTACTCACATTGCTGAGCATCTCTGATGAGGATGGGGGGGGGGGGGGGGCGGCGGATTTGGTAGAACAGTTTGTAAACATTACAGTTCTCTCTCCTGTCAGCTCCTGCACACCGCTTTGCAAAGCAGTGTGCTTACACTGAAGCATTAACACAGGACACAGTGTAAAATAGCACACAGTTAACCCTTTGACCACCCCGGATGTTAACCTCTTCCTGCCCAGTGCCATTAGTACAGTATCAGTGCTTTTTATTAGAACTGATCACAGTATTGGTGTGACTGGGGATGTCAGTGACACCAAGTCAGGTCCCCCCAGTGTCAAAATGGCCGCCTCAGTCCCGCAACAATTCGCTGATTGCTGCCATTACTAGTAAAAAAACAAAAAATCCCAGTATATATACCGCCATTTGTAAACGCTATAAAACTTTCACGTAATCCAATTAATTTACACATATTGGGATTTTTTTTTTATTTTTACTTTGTTTTTTTACTGGGACATGTTTAATAAAAGTAAAAAATATTTTCTCAAAATTGGCGGTGTTTTTTTTAATATATATAACAAAAAATTAAAAAAACTCACAGGCTATCAAATACTACCGAAACAAAGCTATTCGTGGGGGGGGGGGGGGGAATTAATTTGGGTGCAGCATTGCATGACGCGCAATTTTTAGTTAAAATAACGCAGTGCCGTAATGCAAAAAATGGCCTGGTCAGGAAGGGGGAGGGTGGGTTAATCCACTGGAGGGCAAGTGGTTAAAAAAACTCCAAGCAGATATACTATATATTCATTTTAATCCCAGTCCAGAGACTTTATTGAAGGAATAACAGCATACAAGCAAGCAGGGGAAGGATATCTGTGTGCCGCTTATCTTTCATTGTCCAATCAGCAAGCTGGGATTGGTGAAGTAGTCACTAGTGTTTTCCTTAACAGGATGCATGCATGTGAACTTTAAATTTGCCTCCATGGACCAGTATTAAAAATAAGTCAGTGCCATAAAAGGAAAAAAAAAAAAAAAAAAAAAAAAAAAAAAAAAAAAACTTACATTTGTTTCAGGTACAAGTGTCACTGGAATAATCCTCTCCTTTTTGGAATTTTGATTCTGCAGTATAATTCCAAGTGAAACAGGATGATCAGGCATCTTAACATATTCCGTGGCATACAAGGCATATGTGGAACCAACAGGTTCAATTGTGAAATTAGAATTACTTGTTCCAGCAACTGCATCATTAGAGCGCAAGCATTTATGCAGGTCAACTAAAATAAAAAAAATGCATGGGGTTACCAATACATTGTAAAGCAAATAAAACAAAAATGAGAGAATAAAAAGGGAAAATTAAAGTAAGCATCAGCAAAACCTAGATTTAGCATGACAATGCATATAGGGGGGCTACAAAATCTTCTAGTTGTAAGTTAGTGCTCAGAAACATCAGTTCCTATGAATATGCAAGATTATTCTAACTCCAAAATAGTCCCTGTGTAGATATTGTAATCATGCATGTTCTAGAACTTGGGTCCAGTATAGTAAAAGCACTGCTCACAGGAAGATGCATAGCAAGAAAGATTGATCAGCGACTGCGTTCCAGTCATCTCCAATCCAACTGCAGAATGTTAAAAAGTGATTCAGGGTAAAATAAAGTCAACTTGCTTTTTTTATGCACAAATTGCAGTTTCTGGACAATTTTTCTTGCTTGCCTTGGTAGCATTCTGTAAAGTGCCTATATTTAATGGTGCTGCCATCTTGGGCTCCTAGTGGCTCCACATTTTGTGAATATCTGAGAAGGTCTGCAAATAATATCCAGCTAAATATCCAGGGCTTGACCAATTTGCTTTAAGGCCTGGTTCACACCAAAGCCTTTTTTAGTACTTTTTGCAGAAATGCACAAATGTCTATTTAACATGGATTCCTATGGGACACGTTCACATCTAAGCTTTTTTGAGCTGCTGCATTTTTGGAGAGTGTCAGAGACTTTATTAAATGCAAAATGTAACGTTTTTGGTTCAACAGACTTCAATGGAGATGCTGCAGAAAACACATGTAGTGTGTTTTTTTTTTTTTACGTGTTTTTGATGGGCTTTCCATTTTTAATCTGCCCGGCACTAAGTTGGCCCAAAAAACAAGCATAACGCAAAATGCATCAAAAAACACGTCAATGCACGTGAAAAAAAAAAAAAACACACAAAAAATGCACTTCAAAAAGCACTGCAAAACAGACAAAATGCAAAATGCATTGGTGTAAACCAGGCCTAAACCTAGGAGCTAGCTAAAAAAAAAAAAAGTTTGAAGCCAGTTTTTTTTTCTTTAGTATAGCATGGGTTGTCAGAGCCCGGGGCAAAACCACACCATGTTTTAGGTTCCATTGAAAATAATGGCACCTGAACCTTCTTGTAACTGAAGTCGCCCAGGTACACACATGTGCGATTATGGATGCCTTTTCAAACTCACACATTCGCAGGACAGGCTAGATATTATGTGTTCTTATTGAGGTAGTTCACACTGATGCGATCCACAAGCATTGTGTTTTGAGTGCCATTACAAAAAGGGTCCTGTGCAAGTATGCAGCAGTGCATTCCAGACTCACAAGTGATAGAGTAGAGAAGGGGTGTCAGACTGGCGGCTTTTCAGCTGTTGCCAAACTACAAGTCCCATGAGGCATTGGAAGATTGACAGTTGACTCCCATGACACCACATGACTCCCAAAGGCAACAGCTGGAGGGCCGCCAGTTTGACACCCCTGGAGTAGAGTGTCATGTGGAGATCAGCATTCACACAGGATTGCTATTGACAGGCAGTTTTTGCATTGAAGTCAATGGGAGGCTTCTTTTACATTGAAGTCAATGGGAAGCAGTGTGTGAACCCAGGCGGCGACAGGACACAATTTAGCTGCCAGGAATACATGGAATCCTTTAGTTCTCTTTTTTTTTTTTTTTTTTAACACCCTTTCTCTGCCCAACTGTACCTACAATTTGGAACCAGAGACCTCTTCATGTTGGTGTTCTGGTTGCATAACCTGCCCATGAACATTGTTAAGCAGTAGTCATTGACGTCAACTAAAGAACAGAAACACATGACCCAAAAAATGGATGTTGCCACAATTCCTAAGACTCTGGCAACAGATTTTTTCTATGAGTAAATAATTCACTAATCTCACCCCCCATTTTATTATTTCAAACTTTACAATTTTTTCTGGAAGATCCAATTAGATGGCTAAAAGACAACATAATCTAACCTTATTGCTCTGACAGATATTTTAGAGTTTCCGTATATCAAACCATGCAAGAAACCTCTAACTCCAAAAGTAATCATTAAACAGAGTAGATTTACTTAAACTGGAGCATTTGGAATCTGGTGAAGCCAGCCTCTAACTTCGGTTTGTTCAATTAAGATTTGGCAATAACGTCTGGAAGCCGATTGATTTCTATGCAGAGTTGCACCAGATGTTTTACGGTTTTATGTATCTAAACCCCAACTGTCTAATTAGGCAAAAGGATATGAACTCACCAGTGCCAATCAAGGATCCAGTAAGAATATAGTGATGCACGGGAAGTTTTATCTGGGAACAAGAATTTTCAGCTACAACCAACGGCTAAAAGAGAAAAACAAAAAAAATACTGTAAAAAAAAACCCTTTAAACAATTCTATAACTTATTGCAAACATGTCCCATCTTGCTTTATGTTCATAGCTTACAGCTTAACAGTTTTGACTGTCATGAAGTGTATCACAGATAAAATGTTAGTTTTTTTTTCTAAATAGCTTTTTGAATATTATGTCAACAATTTGATCCCCACAACTTTTGCTATCTTTCTTCTATCACCAAAGCCAGCTACAAAATAAATACTGAAGTCCATCTGCATTTCTCTGCCACAGTGCTACCTCATAAAGTAGGTTTCTGCAGAATGACTCTTCAGCTGACACAAAGTAATTATTTGTATAGTGGATTGTCAGGCCTCAAACTGTCAGCAAGAACCCTGTGTTTATATGAGGATATTTCTAAATGTATATAATGATTTTTCAATGGTGTCATCCAAACAGTACAGTTTTGTGCTTCTAGGATCCGATTAAAGCCTCTAAAGGTAACTGAATAAGTGTAAATGCAGGTAAACCCGCTTTAAGTCACTTCCACCCTCTTCCTGTCCAGGCCAATTTTCAGCTTTCAATGCTATAACATTTGAATGAAAATTGCGCAGTCATGCAACACTGTACCCATATGAATTTTTTAGCATTTTTCTGAGACAGATAAAACTATTTTGGTGGTATTTATTCACCACTCGGAGTTTATTTTTTGCTATATAAATAAAAAAAAGTCTAAACATTTTGAAAAAAAAAAAAAAAAAAAAAGTGTTTTTCTTATAAAATAAATTAATAATCTTTCTTCATAAATCTTGGCCAAAATATATTCAGCTATCTTTTAAGTAAAAGAAAAAAAAAGAAAGAAAGAATTTACCCAAATTAGTTTTATAACCAAAAATTATAATTTATTTTTTTTATATAAATTTTTTTTGTTAACATACTGTCACCCTAGCATAGTGACACTGTACTACTTGTGGGGGGTGATGAAGATTTTTTTTTTCACACGGATTGCTTTTACACCCATAAAAAGGCTGTAAAAGCAATCATTTCTCCACCTCTTTGGCTGCATTCTTGCAGCCATTGAGAAATACTGAGAGAGTTGTGATTGGTCACAGCTTGTCACATGATACAAGGCTGTTGTGAATAGCCCCGTGCCATGTGACCTCTGATCATTCGCAGATTTCACTAGTACTAAGCATTGTCAGCAAGTGACAATCAGTGATCATATGATTGGGACCTTACACAGGAGGTCCCATACAGCGCGCACAGGCAGTGAATGTGGAGGCAGTTTATAAACAGCCACCCACTCCTGCACTGCTCCCGTCCAGCCGTTTATGTACATGGGTCGGACGAGAAGTGGTTAAGACAGGAAACGTAACTAAACACTGAAAAGGTGTTCTAGGCAGCAGTTAAACTGGTTTATATGTTTCAGACAACATCTCCTGCATTTTGAAAAGAAAAAAAAAAAAAAAAAAAAAAAAAAAAAAAAAAAAAAAGGTAAGAACACAGGAGTGCAAATGTGAATGTAGGTTTTTTGGGTTCCAGGGACAAGATCTCCCCTCTGGATTTCTCTGCTTACCATTTGCGTCACACCTACCATTTATTTTCACATTGCAAAATACCGGAAAACAATGTGCAGGACCCCTGCTTATGACTGTAGGAAAGGGTAGACACGACAAACCAAAGATCTTGCCTCCTTTAAAAGGATAAGTTCACCTTTATACAAAAAATAAAATGCACATTTGCAGCACCTGCAGATCTGTCAGTATATCCGTTACCAATACGTGTTTATAATGGAACACGGCTGATCTAAGGTGTTTGTTTGGAGTGGGCATCTTGGAGCTATCATTCAGCAAGTTGAACTTCAGAGTCCATACTACTAGGACCAAAAATTGTATAATTTGAGGTCACATCGTTGGAGGTGAGCAGATACATGGTGGAGGATAGTACGCACCTGCATCCTGTGATAGTTGCATTTGGTGGTCGTAATAAGGATTGTCCACAGAAGAATACCCTTTGGACTTTTTTTACAGTTAAATTTTTTTATATCTTTAGATTTTCATTTACATAATTTATATAGATTTTCTAATTTATTCATTCATTCCAATTGATTTGTATTCATATTTTGGTGTATGAATTGATTTTTTCACGTCTGATTATGATTATGTAGCGCAACACTAATTACCCTATACACTATTTAAATATAAAGTAGCGGTTATCTCAATTTGGCTTCAAAAGTAGGAATATACTTTACAGTGAAATTGATTAAAACTTTTGTCTTCCTGCAGTAAAAACATTAAAAAAAAAAAAAAAAAAAAACATTTGTTGAATGTATGCTTTATGGTTATTAAAAACAAAAAACACATTTAACAAAAGAAAAAAAAAATGAATTCTCATAAAACAGAAGGAAATGGACTAAAGGAAAAATGATCATAATGACAAACTGTGTATTGTATTTCATAGATTTATCCAGCAGCTGCTTAAAAAGGAGAAGTACATACAAAGCTCTTTTGAGTGTACTTCTGTGGATCACAGAGTGCAGTTCGTTCTGCACTCCTGTGACCCGTTTTCAGCTGACAGCTGGTTGAAGTTCACTGTTGGCTGACGTAACTGAGCCAGTGTAGGCTGGGGAAGGATCCCGACTTAAAAGTCAGGATCCACCCCCAGAGTCTAGAGCGGCATCTGGCTCAGCCACTGAGCGATCCACTGAGAGCCTGAGCAAAATGACACATTGTGCATATAGCCACAGCCCTCATTCTTAAAAAGGAATCACACAGACCATCTCCCCAAAGGGGTCAAAGACAGGAGAGAAAAAAAAAAAAAAAAAAAAAAAAAATATATATATATATATATATATATATATATATATATATATATATATATATATATATATATATATATATATATATATATATATATATATATATATATATTATATCTATCTATCAGTGATTCTAACTCCAAAACTCTGTCCAAAAGACCCGAGTTTGGCCTTAGGTCTCATGCACACTGCAGCTGTCAAAGCCTGTTTTACCAGGGTTTTCTTTTTTTGCCCCTAAAAGCCCATACACACATGGGTATTTACAGGCATTAAAAGGCAGAGGCATTAGGGTCAGAAATCTGAACATATCAAAATCGCATTCAGGAGGAGCTTTTGGGCAGAAAAAAAGCCTGATGCGTCTAAGCGCTAGGTGCATTTAACACTTGTGCATTCATTTTAATAGCCAGAATAAAATGACTATTCTAGCCAATGAAATGAACACCCAAAACACTCGATGCGCCTGAACACACCTAAACACATTTTAAAAAAAAAAAAAATGCAACTTTAGGCATGTTTTTCATACCGCTTTTCTCCTATTAGGAGAAAAGCGTTCAGAAGGACATACATTCATGAGGCCCTAATGTGTTTAAATTTTTTTTTAATTTTTTTTTCATGATAAATTAAATTATAGAGAGCAGGGCATATATCAAAACTAAAGCAAGCAAGGGCTATATAATTTGTAATTCCCAAACCACAAGAGGCAGGCTATTTTTATGGATTTAAAAAAAAAAAAAAAAAAAAAAAAAAAAAAAAAAGCTACCCTATCAATTTGTCAAGCTGAAGAACATTTAGTGAGAGAAACCGGAAAAAGTGACCTCATTGTATTTTCACCAATAAATACACAAACGTGTGTGGTTATTACACGTGTCGTCATCAGACTAGTCATACTGCATATGCAATGCAGTCTGCATACAGCAGGTGTGGTATCTATGCAGAAGATAGAGGAATGCGCACCTTCAGGGGCCCTACAGATTTTACGTATGAACTTGCTGTATGTAACAATGAACACACTCTGTGTTACTAACAGGATAAAAAGCATTTATAAACAGGTTTAAAAGTGAAAAGCATTAGTGTTTTACGAGCCATAGCAATAAAACACATGCTAGCCATATGCCTGCAGCATTGGGCTGAATCGCTTAACATAGGAACAAGACAAGGCAAAGCCCTACGAGCTTAGTTTACATCACCACAGCACAGGTGTGTGTAAAAAATAAAAAAAAACAAACCTAGACACACAAATTATATATATATATATATATATATATATATATATATATATATATATATATATATTTTATTACAGTCAGGTCCATAAATATTGGGACATCGACACAATTCTAACATTTTTGGCTCTATACACCACCACAGTGGATTTGAAATGAAACGAACAAGATGTGCTTTAACTGCAGACTGTCAGCTTTAATTTGAGGGTATTTACATCCAAATCAGGTGAACAGTGTAGGAATCACAACAGTTTGCATATGTGCCTCCCACTTGTTAAGGGACCAAAAGTAATGGGACAGAATAATAATCATAAATCAAACTTTCACTTTTTAATACTTGGTTGCAAATCCTTTGCAGTCAATTACAGCCTGAAGTCTGGAATGCATAGACATCACCAGACGCTGGGTTTCATCCCTGGTGATGCTCTGCCAGGCCTCTACTGCAACTGTCTTCAGTTCCTGCTTGTTCTTGGGGCATTTTCCCTTCAGTTTTGTCTTCAGCAAGTGAAATGCATGCTCAATCGGATTCAGGCCATGTGATTGACTTGGCCATTGCATAACATTCCAATTGTTTCCCTTAAAAAAAAAAACTTTGGTTGCTTTGGCAGAATGCTTTGGGTCATTGTCCATCTGCACTGTGAAGCGGCGTCCAATGAGTTGTGAAGCATTTGGCTGAATATGAGCAGATATTGCCCGAAACACTTCACAATTCATCCTGCTGCTTTTGTCAGCAGTCACATCATCAATAAATACAAGAGAACCAGTTCCATTGGCAGCCATACATGCCCACGCCATGACACTACCACCACCATGCTTCACTGATGAGGTGGTATGCTTAGGATCATGAGCAGTTCCTTTCCTTCTCCATACTCTTCTCTTCCCATCACTCTGGTACAAGTTGATCTCGGTCTCATCTGTCCATAGGATGTTGTTTCAGAACTGTGAAGGCTTTTTTAGATGTCGTTTGGCAA